CGGCATGGCGTCCGGCATGGCGTCCGGCTCAGGCTGTGGAGGCTGCGGGCTCGGCCGTTGCTGTGGGCTCGTGCTCGGGTGCAGACCCTTTTCCCTGTTGGTTTTAGGGAACCTGGAATGGCTGGACAAGAACAAAACCAGTTTTCTGATCATGTGGAGGAGACCCGAGGAGTGGGGAAGGCTCATCTACCAGTGGGTGAGAACGCAGCCGCTGCCTGGCCCGCAGACCAGGCCTCCTGTCCCCGGGAGGAGGGGCGGCGTTGCCTGCGACTTGCGAAAAAGGCCGTTGTAATGTTGTTTTCTGGCTTCCTCACTGCTTTTACCTTTCTTCTCCCGTTTCTCTGTTGCAGAGAAGCGTAGAGACGTGAACAGCATTTTACGTGCATCTACCAGTGGGTGAGAACGCAGCCGCTGCCTGGCCCGCAGACCAGGCCTCCTGTCCCCGGGAGGAGGGGCGGCGTTGCCTGCGACTTGCGAAAAAGGCCGTTGTAATGTTGTTTTCTGGCTTCCTCACTGCTTTTACCTTTCTTCTCCCGTTTCTCTGTTGCAGAGAAGCGTAGAGACGTGAACAGCATTTTACGTGCTGCAAGACGCAGTGCGAGCAGCGGATGCGCAGTCGTCCGCTCCCACTGCAGCTGGCTGTTCCGTAGGGCGGACAGAGCTGCGCTGCCTTCGTGTGGCACGGGTCCTTGTGAAGCACGTGGGCAGGGAGAGGAACCGTCTTGGTTTCCTTAGGCATCATTTCTTGGCCCTCCAGTGCCCTGGGGCATTTCCAGGGTATTTCTGCTCATCGAGTGCTGGCCACGTTCCATTTCGCTCGCGCTGAGGTGTACGAGAGTTGGCGCCAAGGAGGTGACATCACACAGATGAGATTTGCTGTCTTGCTTTTGTGTTTCCAGGTGTCGAAGAATGGCTTGACCAACTCTGTGTTCACGCTGTATGAGTTGGCCAGTGGAGATGATACAGAGAACGAAGGTAGTGTCATGGGTTCTGTTCTGGAGAAGGTTTTCAGAGCACGCTTGATTTGAGCACATAATGAGTCGTTGGTCAGATTATAGTTTATAGATTAAACATTTTAGAATTGCTTATGCAAGCTCACACCAATCACCACTGGCAAATGCCACTCTGAAGGCTTTTTTACCACGCTGCATGAATGTCTCCTCTTGTTATCACTGTTTGCTTTTTAAACCTTCCCCCGCCCCAGAGGCCTCCCAGTGCCGAGCTCTTCATCTGCTGTGAGGTGCGGGCTGTTCTGGTTTTATGCCTGGCTTTTGTGCTGCCGTCGAGACTGCTGTGACTTGTTCCCTTCTGTCTGATGGCCTTCAGGCCGTGTTCCCGATGCAGCAATGTAGGGATGGGTCTGTCGGTGTAGCGGTGGCTCTGGGTTTGCCGTAGCGTTGCGGCGCTGGAGTCTGAAGGGTGCTCTGCAGAGCCCGCTGCTTCGCTGCCACCATCCCTGGACTGTGTAAGCCTGTTGGTTTCCTGATGCAATTTTTATTTTTTTTCCTTCCTGTTGATGAGAATCTCTGTCCTTCCCCAGAGTTCCATGGCTTAGATGAGACTATGCTGCTCCGCGCCCTGCAAGCCTTGCAGCAAGAGCACAAGGCTGAAATTATCACGCTGGACGATGGCCGAGGCGTCAAGTTCTTCTGATGGGAGCCCCCTCCTCTCCTCTCCTCTCCCCTCCCCTCCTCCCTGGCTGCTGAAGTCGTGCTCGCTGTGAAGGTTCTCTCTCCTGGCCTGGTTTCAAGCCGTGGCAGCGGCATACGGGATTTCTTGGGGCAAGGAGAATCTGCGAAGCCTTCCAAAGACAATGACTGCTTAGAAGTAATCAGAGATCCTCTGTCTGTCTTTTCTCCCTGTTGGTCGTGTGTGAGAGGCTGAAGCTGCTCTAGGCAGCTCCGAGAGGGACCACCCTGAAGGGGAGTAACGGGACTGCTCCTCTTGCTGGTCCCCGCTCTGTGGAGGCCACGGGCTGGTCTCTAAGCTGGCTGGTGGAGCTGGGCCTCAGGGGGCACCTCCGTCCCCCCGCCAGCCGCGTGCTCAGGCTCTGCAGTCCCCGCTGCCTTGCCCAGCGGGGCGAGAGCAAGCGCGAGGAACTCGCTGCTGTGCTGTAGAAGACCTCGATGGCAGAATGATGTGTGCTTGCTGCAAAGCAGGCTGTGCAGCGGGGTGGGGGTGGATCCCAAGGAACTAATTTGAAGTAATTAAAACAAGATGTATTTATAGAGCAGCCTGGGTGTTTTCATCCATCTCTGTTTTTCCATCAGAAACAAAACAGGGCAGCGTACCAGATTCTTGCCCTGCAGCCGCGTTTCCTCGCTGCAGCAGATGAGCAGGGCAGTGTGCCCGGCGAG